GTTTGGCTTCTTTAGAGACAACCAAAATGTTTTTTCACAGGTATCTAACTTTAGTAATTAAAGTTAGGTTAAATTAATCATAACTTTTAGGACCAACTTTAAATAAGCCTCACATAAAATTTGACACTGTTTATAGCTGTTTAACCACTGATGAAGAGTTGATAATCCCAGCTCAGTAGCTAGCATGGCTTAATAGAACACTTATATTCTAAAATGGGATGGGTATCTTCTCAGCTGAGGTGAGACCCAACACCATCTCTCTACAAACCTTTACGTAGACTTCAGAATTCAGCATCTTCTTGTAAGTATAATGACAACCAGAAATCAATTCTAAGAAAATATTTACTTATAGCTGCACAACAATCCCCAAATACAAAATTATATTCTTACATAGTATGTATATTATAATTTAATAAAAAGTGGAAGTCATATCCAAGAGCTGTATTAAAAAGGCAAGAGATATCTGTGAAATTAATAAAAAGTGAAGTGTCTGATCTCCCATGCATTTGTTGCCATAAGGGTTTTCAACGAAACACTTCTACCTTGAAGTGTACTTGCAGAGTAGAAATGTTCCAGCGCTAGAAAGAAATACTCTGCTTGAAATGCAAGCACACACTCCTAAGTAGAATATCAAACCCGAGTTTTTCCCAATTGAAATATACAAATCATCTTTAGCAGCTGTGTTAGAATATTCAGTGATATCAGCATTTGCAAAACCTCTAAGAACTTAATTGACATGTGACACTGGGATCCAGCACAAAGGCTAAAATTTCACTGATGAGATGCTTGGGTTTTGCGAAATCATAAGCAATTGGAGAGATACTACAATGGATCTGTTTTACAACATAACTTATCATCCACAGATGATGTAACAGCATTCATCCTGAACCACACTCCTCATTTTAAGAAACGAAGCAGAGTTTAATCTTAAAACTATAAATTACTGCAGCCAACTGCAAAACCTACAGACTTCTGTTGTCTGCTCTTTTTAAACATCTGAAACAGCATTTCTGAATAAGAACTCATTTAAGCCAAACTCCAAATCTAGCCAATATTTCATACTCTCCAACAAAGAGGAGTTTTCTGTCTGGAAGGCTGAATTGGATGAGATATGCTTTGAAGCCCTGCATAAAAGCCAAGCCCCTACAGTCTGACTCCTTGCTAACTAAGCCTCTTAACTCCTCAGTTTATCCACCCGCCTGCTCGAGAGCATTTTACAGAAGTGAAGCTATACAGGGTGTCAATCAACACCATCTCATCGATTTCAGAGGGGTTATACCCACCTGCACCAGCTAGGAAGTTTACACATCACACCTCTCTGCTCACTGGGTTTAATACTGACATGTCCCAACATCTCCAAGCACTACCAAGAAAATACAGAAGCAGCTCCACAACACTGTTAAGACTGTTATGTGGCCCTGTTGATTTGAATGAATCTGAAGAAATAAAACAGACAGCAAGATCAAAAACCAAAGGGAGAGGGAACTGACCCTACAGTACATAGAGAACTGCTGTAAATAAAACAAACCAGAAAGGTTTCCAACAAAAGATGATTGAAGAAGAGCAAAAAGAAAGAAAGAAGTGATCCAGGTCAGGTCACAGAGAGAAGAAGAAAAAAAAAAAAAAGACAGAAAAAAAATCCACAAACCAATATTACCTCAACACTAGAATTGCTCATGGAAAACAGGAACAACTCCAAGCAACGATCTTATCATAGGAGGTTACATTTAACTTTCATCCTCCTTAAAGCTAGCATGCTTAATCCACAGAAACAGGGCTTGTAATAAGCCTAGTTCATTACAAATCAGATATAAACTTTATCTACTTTGTGGTAGACCAGAGGAACGTTGAGAAGCTTGTCCAAGTTCTCACAGTGGTTCACAGAAGAACCACCTGCTGGCGACCACCACTGTGCTTATACCCTTAAAGACTGATGCCAAGATCAGTGGTTCACAGAAGAACCACCTGCTGGCAACCAGCACTGTGCTTACACCCTTAAAGACTGATGCCAAGACGAAATCTTACTTCCACCATGGAATACTTAAAACAGACATTTCCACCAGAACAGAAACAGATTCGTGAGCACAACAAGGTGGAAAGTAAACTAGCATCGTTCAAGTGACTCTCCAGCCTGAATGACCAAGTAGTCGTTGCATCATTTCAACACCAAGGACTGCTTTGGCAGAAGTCTCTCACAAAACTTTTAGCCTTGTTACGAGCTATCCTAATGCTGGGATATTTCAGACCACAAATTAATGCTTTTACGCAAATCAGGATATAACGTAGTAAGGAAAATTTACACGAGGAGGACTAAATGAGCACAGATTTAAAAATCTAAAGAGGAGAACACGAATTAGTTAAAAGTCAGAAAAATAGCCTAGCAAAATTTTACTTCTTTTGGCTCACAGCTCTTCCCTCTGCATGCACTTATTCCAATATGCTGACTTTGCAGGCAAAAATCAATTTTTACTACTTTTTATTTCTATGCATACTACAGTGCCTAAAGAGCTATGACAATCTAAACTGGATTAATTTTTGGCTAATGCACCATGGACAAAATTCCTAAGCAAATTCTACCTACCAGCTGTTTCAGAAAACACAGGCTGGTACATTATAAATGTTTTTTTGACTATATACATAGTAACTTTCAAGCACTTCAGTGTTACCATGGTCTCAGTGCCAAACAGAAGAGGCACAACCAGATTTCAAAATCCCCCTAAAATGCCTTTGCAAGGCATATGGCTAAAAGGGGGAAACACTGTTCAACTTACAAGTACAAAGTTTGAAACTTTAGTACCAGAAAAGAAGAATGCCATTCTTACTGAGTCATTTTCAAAATCAGGATAAAATTACGTGTAGATATTTACACACATATACTTAGTGATAGAGCGCACTGCAAAACAAAACCCAGGGAAGTCAGGTTACAGAAAGTTTGTTGTACTTTTAAAACAGAATTATTAGAATCTTACAAAAATCTCACATGTGGTTTCTTAACTGAGGAAGAAATAAATATTGTGAAACCAACTTCTACAAAGTCAGGGTAAGAAATATGACATATGCTTATTACATATTATTTGTAAAGGTACAGGTGATAACGAAGAAAATTTTTAAGAAATACGAGAGTTAATCAAGTCTAACTGAATTATTAACTAAAACAACTTAGCACAGAATTGTTGCAGTGGAAACACAAGTCCATTCCCTCCTTGAACATACTGCTCCCATAATGAGTTTCATACATGGCATGTAATTTCTCAGAAACTTTTTACAGATCCCAAGAAATTCACGAAACAATCGCCACGAGTAGAACACATGGATCAAAACAACTCATCCTCAACATAACTCTCTGTGACATATGTCACTCACTGTGACATCTGCACAGAGAGAGATTGAACCAATAACCACAGAGCGATTCAAATTTGAAACAATAAATTTACCTTTACTGCCTATTAAATTTAAATAATACCTTGCAAGGGAAAAACAGGTCATGCGCTCCTCTGGCTTGTTTCTATATTCACATAACGGACTTGATACAGTTGCCCGTACCCAGATGCGCTTGCCCACCTGAGAGGCCCTTGGGAAGCCAAGATACCCTCAAAGGAATGGCAGAGAAGGTGCAAGACCTACGGAAGGCCTGTATCCGAACCGAGTGGAAACCAGGGTAAGCAAGGCCATCTCAAATGGCACTAGATGCCTACGTGGGGCAATCCAAACGGAGCTTCTACACCAGATTCAGCTCCAACCTGGGATGTCCTGCACCATGCAGACGTACCTTCGCGTGACCACGTGGGAGTTGAGTACCAAGCACCCATTAGTGTCAGTATACTCAAGAGAGCTACTGACTTCATTCTAAGGCCAACATCTACACCCCATCACCCGAGCAGCTCCCGCAATTCCTCTGATTCTCCGGACACAACTCCCATCGACTGCCAAGCACAGACGCCCAGCTCACACTACAGACGCCTGAACTCAGGTGTCCCAACTGTGGGCCAAATTCCACCCTAAAGCTAGGTGGCATGATTACCAACATAGGAACCACAGTTCGGCCCACGCAACTTCAGACAAATGAGTTCAACCAGATATGGCCAGGACAACAATCATTGTAGGATCTTTCATAGTCAATGCAAAGAGACAGATGCCTTCAGACTGATTCAGTTAAATGCCTGATTTTGGATAAGACTAATCCACAGCTACCCATATCCTCCAAAGCATACAGGAACATGCTCAATCTCTCTTAATGACGGCAGTAGCTAGCTTACACAACCATATGCTCATATTGTCATTAGCTTTATTTCCTTCTCCTGTCGTTTTCCTATATTGTTCATTTGCTTCTTTCCCACTGAGTTATAAACTTTAAGATAATACCCTATCTCAATTACTTTCTTCAACAACGCTTATTACAATCTTAATGGGACCCTAGACGGTAAGAAAGTAAAAATAATGCTGGCTCATACCAATTTAGAATAAAATTCAGCACACCCAGATGTAACTCTACAAGTTCCCTGGCACCAAACAGCCATCGGAGTGATCCCAGTACTCCAGACTACCGGGAGCTCAACAAAGCAGTGCTAGCAGTCAAGTGACAGCTCTTCTTGGTCTGTCCTACACTTAGCAAAGTCCTGAGACTACATTAGATGGGGACAAATATGCCTTTACAAATTTACAACACCTTGACAATTTTGGTTTTATAGAAAAGCAAAAGCGCTGTTTTTCAAATCTCAATAGAGATAACAACAGTAAAGTCAGCATCAAAGTTTTCTCACCAAGAAGTCCACTATTTTAAGCAATGGATGAAAACTGCCGAGTTTAAAAATCACAAGTTATGCAGGGGATGAAAAGGATACCAAAGGAGAAGAACACTTTAAAAAATGCATGATCAGAAAAAAATAATTTCAAATAGTGGAGAAAAAATTGTGAAACACATGTGAAACACACAAAACACAAGTGAAATACCAGACCAAAAGGCCAACTTACTAGTAAAGAAACTCAAAGAATACGATTACCTTGTTCTAATCTAAAGCATAGGGAACGTTTTGCAGCCTCTATCTCAGGAGTTGGATGATCCAGAACACGCCGGCACCACTGCAGAGGACTCAGTGATTTCTCTTGAGGACTGAGAGTCTTGCTAGGCAGGATGTACAACCTTAACCAAAATACACACAAATATCAGCAAGACATGCAATACTTAAAGGTTTACTTTTGTATTCTCACTTTCCTGCCCACTAATAATTTATAACAGTGCAACACCTTGCAATATGATATTCTAATAACAAAAGATACTCCACAGTAAAAGAGTTTACACTGGTTTTCTTCTTCCCTCCTCAAGAGAAGTAGGTGGCAAAACATGAACTCTACAGGTCTGGCACGCCAAAAGAAAGTTCAAGTAGATTTCTCATTACAATCTTCTATCTCATCCCTACCACTGCCCGAACTTCAGCACTGCCCAAAGTCCAAATGCATTAGGCGCCCTACACACACCAAAGGTGCTGTCAGTTTTCCCTTTGTATTTTTCTTTACTGGAGATTGGGTAATTTCAGTATCTGATTTGACATTTAAATCACAATTTCACTGTTATCTATCTCACTCTTTTACCTACAACAATTTAATCAACTTGTCAGAGCGCTGAGTATAATTTAATTTTCATACACAACATCTTCTCCCAGATGAATCAAATGTCAAATCTTTAAAGATTAGAAAACATTTGCTGAGAAACAATGAAAATCCAATTCCGATATTCTATTCCAGCAGGAAAAAAAATGCAAGAAAAGCTAGCATATACGCATTATTCTCTGGCAAGAGCAGGCAACTAATGAGCTGATGGTCAAGCACATTAGGAAGCCAGGTATCAAAGCAGATTTCACGGGGAAATCCTTGAAGCTGGGATCCGCACTGCTGCCGTTGCCCTTGCAGATGAGCGGACACAAGCAGACCCAGTGGTTCGCCTGGGAGAGCCCAGCTCTCCCGGGAAGCCGGGAAGGGAATTCTTCCTTGCCGCTGGAGACGGCTCGGAGCTCCTTGGCCTGACCGACCGCTTGCGATGGATGGGGCCGCAGACAGTCAGGGGCAGATCCTCAGGCACCAGCAAAACCCTCCACGGGCTGCAAAGGAGCCTGGCCTGCACACAGTGGGTGCAAAAGGCAAGAAGGTAACAATAAACAGGGACTCAGCTCCTCAGGGGACCACTAACAGGCAGCAGCCTTTTACCCTCAGGGTTTTGGCTACTCCATGTCCCTCAAGAGCAACTGTTCTCCAGTGTCTGCTCAATGATTTTTACTCCTCTGGAGTCAATCGGCGCTCTCAACCCAGCTCACAAAGAATAAATATCCTCGCTGTGACTGCTATCTCTCTTGGCAATCCCAGCAGAGATCAACTATCAAACTCCTCTGAGGAGTGGACTCACTTCCCCTGACTTCCCGCGGTGCCTGGCTACACATTTAAAAAACGATGCCGACAAAAACGAAAAGAAAAAAAAAAAGAAGGAAAAGGAAAGCTTTCAGCGTTCCTGTTAACCTGCAGAAGTGCTTCAAAAGCCAAACATCTGACTGATGAATTCTCAGTGATCGGAGGTTTGTGTAAAATGCTGAGAACAATAAAAAGAGGTTTGACTTGTCTGCAATGATGCTAATTCTACGTTTGTTTTGTAATTGCAGTTAAAAAAAAAAAAAAAACCAATGTTACTTCAGGCCTAAAACTACTAACTGACAGCTAGGATACACACTGGTCTCTGGCTTTCCAGCAAGCAGCTTGCTTGAAAGACTGACATTACAAAAAAGCCCCAAGCAGCTGGGCATCACACAGCTGACCTCTCACGGACAACAGTGGAGATTCAGCCTTGAACTACAAACGTTCAACAGCTAAACCAACTCAGTGAAATAAATTTGTTAACAAAATCCTGTTGTGAAATTCCTCCTGTGGGCACATACGTGTGTGACATAAAGGTAAGTTCTGGCCCCCAGACAGGCATTTAAGATTGCTTCCAGGGGGCAAATCAAATAGGAAACTCTACTGAGGCACATAAAATAATGCTGACTTTCTACTGCCCTGAAATATAAACGGGGAAAACATTTTGTTTAACAGCACGGGCTCAAACAAATTCGATACTCCTTGATGTAAAGGAAAGTAAGGCGTTACGATGAAGGTAGAATTTGATTCGAGTTTGGATCAACAACCCCAGAACAGCCCTGCGCAGACTAATGCTATGCACAATGAAACAACACTGACAAAAATTGCTATGCAATTTGTTGATGACTCTCAAAAGCAATTTTCCAAAACTGCAGCATGCTGTTATTTGTACCATGAAGTACCCGCAAACAGCATTCAAGAAAAATTTATGATATTTAGATTAATTTTTAAAACCCTTCTCTGCTACCAAAAATAAAGATGTTTGAATGCCCCTCAGCTGCATTATACTGTCTTTTATTCTCAGCTGACGTAAACTTCAGTTCGATTTAAAAACCACATAAAAAACTACGTTGAAGCTTTGACAAATACTCAAATCGGTTACTTAAATATAGATAATATGTATTTTAACCCTGACACCTTAAAACAACTGAGCATCATTTACGCTTAACACGGTCGGGCAGCCAGTGATTTACGCAGCATTCCAGCAGTGTTTGAACAGTCCCTACGATGCTCGGCCACGCTGCCAAGTTTTGAAGCACCACGCTCACGTATCTATTTATACCTCCAGCCTGTAATTTCCCCTTCTACCTGTTTTCAAGTGAGCGCAATCATTCCTCTGGGTCGATCCTGTTCTCTGCTTCATCCAGCTGCTATTCCCTCCCGCTTTATTCCATTTACCAGCACCCAGCCGTCACCTTTCGGAGCTGTGTGGGCGCTCAGGACACACAGCCCACCGCTTAGCTCAGTGTCTAAGAGACAAAAGCCCTCCCTGAACGTGGGAGACAACTGGGCCCAGGTTTTAGGATGGGGAGGAGGCAGCGCGGCGCAGATAAAGGCTTTCCCGGCACAATTCTCCCGCTATTTTTAATTCCTTATGTAAACAGCAGGCCGAGACCCGAAATTAAGAGAGAAGACGATCTTTCATCGAGGGGAAAA